AAAATAAAACCATTTAATTAAAAAATTAATAGATTTCCATATATAAGAATTCAATGAATTAAATCATATTCAGTACTTATAAAAAGAAAATGTAAATAAAGAAAAGAAAAAATGTAAAAAAGTAAGAATTATATTGAATGATAGAATTGGTGGACATATATTGCAAGTTGTTAAGGACTTTATTTTATTATTATTTGTAACTATTTTGAATACTTTTATTGCTTATAACTTATAATATAAAAATCAAAACATTGAATATTATATCGACTTGTGTTTAAATATAATGATTGGCTAATAGTTACATGAGTTGGCGCGTTAGCATACCTTACATTGTATTATGTTATCAATTGTGGTGTTGTATTGAAATTCTATAATAAAATGCATTAACAAAACGATACAAACAGTACATTATTCTGTGTTTCATTTGACAAACACTTCGACACGAAAACAGTTATTCCTAAAGCGAGAGACAGCGAGAGTGTGAGTGAGAGAACTGGTTCTCCACTGCTATAGCCTTGAAGTTTGATTACATTTATTTAAGCCATAGAAGGAATTGGCGAAAAAGTTGCACTATTTTCATATTATCTTCTATATTGTTAACCAAATGAACAAATTTTTCACATTTGTGTCAAATATTGTTAAAAACGAGTGAATTGTTATAAGTTATAAAATGCCTGCAGAAGTGGTCACAACATCTCATGTTCAAAAGGGTCCCACAAACTATTCGGGATCATTTGCCATCAAAACCAAAGTAGAGTCCGTTCCCATTGGGGAGGAACTGAGACTAAATCTTGAATACTTTAAAATAATCCCTGGTATTTTAAAACTGGTCCAATTGGTAAGCATGAAGACGTTTTCCGAAATAATTATTTCAATCGTTTAAATGATATAAAAGAAAGATTATTATTTATAACAACTTTCCAACTTAAGGTAATTTCAATTATATGCATGGCTTGTGTTTCACCTCCACTCACCGTAAGATTGTTTGACTTTTACTTAATTTAATTAAAATTTTTGTATTTTATAAAGTAGTTATAAATTAAATTAACAATAAATCTGAATATTTATTAATTAATAAAACCGACAGCATAATTTTATACTAGTAAACTTAATTCTGTAAAAAATAAATATTCAAATATTCAGTAATTTTTTAATAATAAATAATTTTATATTATACAAAGTAGTTTCTAAAATGAATTAAATTATTTTAATTAACAAATCTACATAGTTGAGATTAAATAAAATTATATTATTAGATTAAATGATTAAAACATAAGTTTATTCCTTCAGTGGTTCTCTCGACTCTTCACAGCTGTAATCGCCATATCTTTCGCCTTAACATTGATTTTATGTTTTTGTTATTTGGTAACCCTTAAGAATATTGTTTTCCCAAAATTCAATTGGATATTTGCAGTAAGTATGACGACATTTGCGAATTTCG